TCGTTGTCTCCATAGTGGCTAATAGAAGACTCAGCACATGCCAATGTGGGTGGGTGGGTGGATGGATGGATGGATGGATGGGTAGGTGGGTGGATGGGCTAAGGTGGCCAGAAAAGCAGTACCTGCAAGTGCTTAGGACAGAACAGTAAGAAGACAGGGGGTGACTTGACCACTGGACAGCAAGCTTCTATCAGGGCAGTATATCTGTTTCTAAGTGCCAAATTAATCCCGGTTTTCCAATAGTATCAGCCTCCAGCCAGATCAGAGGCTATTGTCATGGGCACTCTGGGTAAGTGGCTCTCTCACTTAAAGCTGTGCAATGGTGGGTTCTTTCCTTCAGCTCTCTACCTCCCAATCATTCCCAGTATCGCTGTCTCTCCCTGTTCTCTCTCTCTCTTTCTCTCTCTCTCTCCTTCTCTCTCTCTCCCTCTCTCTCCAGGATCTCACTCTGCCTTCTGGGTGCTATAACAGTGTGTGCCACCACATCCAGATTCAACTTCTTCATCCATCAAATAAACTTTGGTTGTTATAAGGATTCCATGAGCTAATGAAGAATGGTATAAACTGTAGCATCTTTGTTCCTGCAAAGGACACTAGGCCCAAAGTTGAGTGGGACTCCACATGCTGGCCAGTGATGGGTCATGTCCAGTATCAGGCTATGGGTGTTTCGGTCCCCAAATATAGTCGTTCCCATCCCATCTCCCATCGGCCTCTCCACACATCTTCCCACCTCAACATGGCACCCTCTGTCGTTCAGCTTCACAAGCCTGGATGCACAAGGGGAAACTATTCTATTTTTAATATGTGTGTGTATTATGTGTTTATGGGGAAATGCACATGTGCCACAGAGCATGTGAAGAGGTCAGAGGATACTTCTGAGTGTCCATCAAGGTTGCTCTCTCTTTCCACCTTGTTTGAAGCAGGGTTTCTTGGTTATTCACTACTGCGTACCCCTGGCTAGCTGGTTCAAGAGCTTCTGGGGGTCTCCTGTTTCCACCTCCCATTTCTTCTGTAAGTGTGCTGGGATTACAGATGAGGGCTACTGCATCTGGTTTTGTGTGGGTGCTGGGGATCAGAACTCCCATCTTCACATTTGTACAGCAAGTAGTTTATCCACTGAGCCAACTTTCCAGCCTGAGAGAGCTTTGTTAAACCAAATCCTCGGCTTCTCCCCCACTCCTGGAAAATGAGAGTCTCCTGAAATAAGTTCCAAGCATCCTTTCTTTCTTTCTTTCTTTCTTTCTTTCTTTCTTTCTTTCTTTCTTTCTTTCTTTCTTTCTTTCTTTCTTTCTTCTTTCTTCTTTCTTCTTTCTTTCGTCTTTTGAGGCAGGGTCTCCCTGTAGTGGGGCTGGTCTAGAACTTACTCTGTAGACCAGGCTGGCCTTGAACAGAGATCTGCCTGCCTCTGCCATCTCTACCGGTATTAAAGGTGTGTGCCACCATGCCTGGCAGCATCTATCATTTCTATTGAGTTCTGTATGTGACTTTGGGCATCCTAGTCAGCTACAATTTGAAAGCTATTGCCTCACTTCCTCCCACATAGTAAAGGGAGGAACGGATGCCCAGAATGCACTCTGCCTCCACCTGGAAGACTTCTGTACTTATTGCTTCAGTGTGCTTCTGTTCATTTCTTCAACAACTATCTCACAGAGGTTAGGGGCGCCAGACACTCTTTTAGGCACTGGTAACCCACAGGAAAAAGAACTGGCTTCAAAGCTTGGCCAGTGCTCTCTTTGCTGGGATGGTAGGCAAGCAGCAAAGACCAAAGACAGAGCAGCCCTACATGGGACAACACGGCATTATGGGACCACAAGGAGAACTTGGAAGGCAGCTATGTTCCCCACTATACCACCACACAAGGAGATTTTGGAAGAGAAGCTCAGGGACCTCTGGTCTCTGGAGGAGCACATTGATGTCTTAGCTGGACCATAAATGTTTAGTAGGAGTCAGCCAAGGGAGGAAAGAGTTCCAAATGAGGGAACAGCCCATGCAAAAGCCAGCCCTGGCATACACCATGCTGACTTTATTGATACTTGGCAGCGATTGGGTCCATCCTTAAATGGTGTCTTGGGCCTGTTCTGGTTTCATGGTTGATTTATTTTGTCCCTAAAGCATCCGATGATGCTCAAGTGGAGGAGCTGGGCCCTCTTTTCTTTCTGATTGGCATGTTCCTGGCCTAAGAATGGACTTATGACCAGGAAGGAAATGTTCCCACTGGAGCCCCTTCACTGGAACACAGGACACTCACTGCTGGACGTGTTTTGTTCCCTTTGATCTTTGCAGCAATGCATGGAGCCTTTTTTGTTGTTCATTTTTAAGACAGGGTATCACACTATAATCCTAGCTGACCTAGAACTCACTGTAGCCCAGGCTGGTCTCAAACTCATGGAAACCCGTCTGTTTCTGCCTCCCATGTGTTACCAAATCCAGATTCATGGTTTTTAAGATTTCTTTTTATTTTTATTATTATTATTTTTATTTACATGTGTGTGCATGTGTGCACGTGTGTGTGTGTGTGTGTGTGTGTGTGTGTGTGTGTGTGTGTGCCTGTGTGTGGGAACAAACCCATGTGTTTGGGTGCCCAAGGAGGCCAGAGAAAGGTGTCAGTTACCCCTGGAGCTACCGGCAGTTGTGAACTGCCCAATGTACCTGAACTGAGATCCTCTGGAAGAACAGTATGCACTCTTAACTGCCAAGTCATTTCTCCAGCCCCCAAACTCAGTTTTTTTGGGGGGAGACAGGATCTCACTCTGTAGCCTAGGCTGGCCTCAAACTCATGATGATCCTTCTGTTCAACCTCCTGAATATTAAGATAACAGGTGTGAGCCCTGATGCCTAGCTAAGGTGGGAGGTTTCTGTTTTGAAACAGTATTATACAGCCTGTACTGGCCATGACCTTGCTAGGTGACTGAGGATTATCTTGAACTCCTTCCTGATCTTCCTGCTTCTACTTCCTGAGTGCTAGGATTATAGGTTTTCCCCCATCCTGCTTGGCTTTAAGGTAGGCAGTTTTATCCCCATTCTATAAACTCAGAAATAGACTCAGGATTGCTAAATGAGTTACCTTGTGTCACTCATTTGTAATTTGAGAAATTAGAATGTGGTCGAACCACACAGTCACTCTAGCTGGGCTCATCACTCCTAACAGCAGCATCTGAGGGGCTGTGCAGAGTAGTGGCTGGTGCCTCAGACTCTGGAGTCTGCCTGGGTTCTGACTGCAGTCTAGCTGTGTGATCCGGGGTAGACGCCTTAGTCTTCTGTGCCTTGGGCTCTTCCCTTACTGTCCGGAGGCACTGCTGGCATCTCCTTCCTAGGGTTGTGATGAGAACGGCATGCAGTTCATCTGTAGTTTTAAAAGAAATAAATAGCTAATGAATTAGTGTTGTGGTACTGAAGATTGAACTCAGGGCTTTGGGTTGTCTCTGGAAAGACCTATGTGTCTAGCCCTGGGAAAGGACCATGTGCGTTTGAACTCCTGTGGTTGGTACCAAAGCTGTCGAGGATGCACTTTCTGTATGCAGGGGATGGCAGCCTGTTGCCTGCCTGGTAGGCATCTTTTTAGCTGTTTTGGAGCCAAGAGAAATGAGGGAGGGAAAGGTGACCAGTTCCTGGAGGCAGCTGTCTGGCCAGGGTGGATGTGTGCTTGTGGTTGTGATGACAGCAAAATACTGTACTGGGTGTAGTGACACATGCCTGCAATCCCAGCTCAGGAGGTAGAGGTAGAAGGATTAGGATCTGAGCTTATTTTATTTTTTAAATTTTTAAAAATTATTTTTATTTTATGTGTATGTGTGTATTGCCTGCATGTAGGTAAGTGCACCGTGTCATGCAATGCCCACGGAGGTCAGAAGAGGCTGTTGGATCACCTTGGACTGGTAGGGACAGTTGTTAGCTGCAATGTGGGTGCTGGGATTCGAATCTGGGTCTTCTGCAAGAACAACCAGTGTCAGTCAGAAGAAGGCATCAGATCCCCTGGAACTGAAATTATGGATGCTGGGAATGAACTTGGGTCCTCTGCAAGAACAGTCAGTCTCTTAACAGCTGAGCCATCTCTCCAGCTCCAGATAGATGATAGATAATCCAATTTTTCAGCACCCCCCACCTCATGCCTGGCTGCAGGGAGCAGATTCTTTAAAAGAAAGACCAGAGCATGCATAAGACCTGTGCAAACTCAAGCAGAAAAAAAAAACAGCATAGAACTATGGAAATGGGCAGGAGGCCCCAATCTTAGCCGAAGAACTATTGGGCAACTAATTACTGCTGAGTGAGGAAGAGCTGATCTTCTTTAAGGGAATGACTCTAGATAGACTGACTAGACCCCAGTGGATGAACTTGCACTGAAGGATGTCTGGAGGCACTAACTTGACTGGCTAGGCCTCAACACAAATGACAGAATGCATAAATTCCAGTCGGGGGGTATGGGAGGGGGCCAGTGGGGAAAGGGGTATAAAGACGATTAAGATGTTCTGTATGAAATACACAAAAATTCAATTACAAATTTATAAGAAAAAAAAAAGAAAGAAAAAAAGAAAAGACCAGATGGTGGTGGTACACTTGGAGGCAGAGACAGGTGGATCTCTGTGAGTTCCAGGACAGCCTACTCTACATAGTGAGTTCTAGGCTGCCAGGGCTACATAGTGGACCCTATCTAAAACAAAAAAAACAAAACAATTAACAGGTACTTCAAATTTTTTATTAATATTTTATTTATTACTTTTATTTTATGTTTCTGAGTGTATCACCTGCATGTATGTAAGTGTGCCCATGTCATGAAACACCTGCAGAGGTCAGAAAGAGGGTGGTCAGATCCCCTGGAACTGGAGTTACTGGCAGCTGTTAGCTGCCATGTGGGCACCAGGATTCAAATCTGGGTCCTCTGCAAGAGCAGGCAGTGCTTTTAACTGTTGTCTCCATCCCTTAACAGATAGTTTCTTTCTTTGAAGAAGTAAAACTATCAAGTAAATAGTTCCAAGTAAATAAAGTACAGGTAGTTGTGGAAGAAACATGAGAAGGAGGAGGGAGGGTGGGGACTGGAGCCTGCACTGACTGGGGACCAGAGGCCGCAGCCAGGTCCTGCCTACTTCATTTTCTAGCTTTTTATTTCATCACTCCTACGGTGCTCATGACTATTCAAAGCACTTTGAAACATTCAACTCTCTAGACGTGGAGGTGCAGGTCTATAATCCCAGAACTCAGGAGGAGAGACAGGCAGATCTCTGTGTTGAGGCTATCCTCATCTACATAGCAAGTTCTAGGCCAGCCAGGGTTACAGTGAGACCATGTCTCAACAAACAAATAAACAAACAACAAAACAACTCTCTTCCCTCTCACTTGCCTATTGAGCTGGTGCTGTCATGATACCCTGTCTCAGGTGAGAGAGCAAAGCTCAGGGAGGTTAAATAATTCATCCCAAATCACATAGACCTTGAGTGACAGGGCTTGGACTCCCACCCAGCATATCTGAGGAAGGGCAGAACTGTTGTAACCAGCAAGCCCTGAATGTGAGGTAAGGTCTCATCTCCTTCGGATAGTTATCTGGGGTCCACTCCTTCCTTCCTACTTGAAGTTTGGTTTTTGTTTTTGTTTTTGTCTTTTTGAGACAGGGTCTCCCTGTAGTCCCAGCTGGCCTGGAACTTACTATGTAGACCAGGCTGGCCTTGAACTCACTGAGATCGCCTGCCTCTGCCTCCCAAGTTCTGGGATCAAAGGTATGCGCCACCACGCCCAGCCTAAAGATGGGTTTATTTTTAATCCTCATCCCACTGCAATAAATAAAATTTTCTTTATCTCTCTGGGCTCCTGGCTCTCTGAAAATGTGGCTAATAAATGATGGCTTTTTCTTTCCCTTTTGATAGCTCTGCTGGCAGAGGGAAGGGGCTCCAGAGTCTTCTGTGAGCTGCAGAGATGCTCTACGTAGAAATTGGCAGTGTTTTTCTGATAAGGTGCTATGTGAGGGTTGACTGAGATAATTCATAAATGGCCTCAAATGGATGACATCAGCTGTGGATCACAGCAGTGCCTGCCTCGTGCCAGTTAGTTCAGATGAAGACAGTGACTGTTGTGGTTGGGTATGGTGGCTCATGCCTACAATTTTAGCGCTGAGGAGTATGAGACAGGAAGATCATAAGTTTGTAACCAGCCTAGGTGACATGAGGAAACCCTGTGGCACGTGCACTCAGGGTTAATTATAGCACACAGGAGGCAGAGGCAGGTGGATGGATCTCTGTGAGACAGAGGCCAGTCTGGTCTACATAGCAAGCTCCAGGCCAGCCACGACTACACAGTGAGAGCCTGTCTCAAAAGAAAAAAACAACAAAGAAAAACAAACAAAAAACCCCCTCCCAGCACTCAGGAGGCAGAGGCAGGCAGATCTCGGTGAGTTCAAGGCCAGCCTGGTCTACATAGTGAGTTCCAGGACAGCTGGGGCTACAGGGAGACCCTGTCTCAAAAAAAAAAAAAAAAAAAAAAAAAACCTTTGGTTTTATCTTCAGTGTAACACAAAATCCTCAGAACATCTTCAGCAGGGACCTGTGTCACTTATGCCCCAAGCCTCTTTAACCCTGCTCTCTACCCCACAGCTCTCTGACATCTGTCCCAAATCTTTGTTTTTCTTACCTTTTCTTTTTTTTTCTATTTATTATTTATTATCATTTACTTGGTTTTTAGATTAAAAATTTTTTATGTGTATATATTTTACCTGAATGTATCTAAGTATATCACTTTGCTACCTGGTGCTCAGAGGCAAGAAAAAAATGTGAGATTCCCCTGGAACTGAGGTTATAGACAGGTATTAGCTGCCATGTGGATGCTGGCAACCGAACCTGGGTCCCCTGGAAGAGCAGTAAGCGCTCTTAACCGAGCCATCTCTCCGGCTCATTTCCTTTATTTTTTGAGATAGTCTCATCTAGCCTAGGCTGACCTTGAACTTGCTATGTGACTGAAGCTGATTTTGAACTCCAATCCTTCTGCCTCTACCTGCCAAGTGCTGGGATTATATGTGTACATCACCATGCCTAGCTTTATTTCGGGGCTAGAGTTTCCCTCCACAGCTTAGGGCGGCCTTGAAATCTTGAACCGTAGCTAGAAGTGTGTTCTCTTCTAGCCAGACTCTTGCTTTCAGATGTAAGTGAAGTTTGAAACAGTGTGCCCAGCACACAGTAGGTATTCCATAAACATTTATGGGTTGAGCAAACACAGATGGGGACAGTGGGATCCATGTGCTGAGAAGCTGGCTGGGCTCATGGTGTTGGGAGGAAGACCCAGCCCAAGCCTGGGCCCTGCCCTAGGTAAACAGACCTCCCTCTGCTCAGACAGTCACTGTTTGACAACTGTCTGCCCTGGGATGGGCCAAGCCTGGCCACCACACTGCCAAGGCCCCAGGATTCTCCAAAACAGGCAGAGGCAGCCACACCTCAGGGAGGGCCTAGGAGGACTGGTCAGAGAGTTATGCAAACAAGCCAAGAAGAAGGCTAGAGAGGTTGAGAGACCCCAGGAGAAGGTAGCCGAGGCCTGCCCTGGGCAGAGCACAGGGATCTGAAGCTTCTGTTTGTGACACTGTGGGCAGGCAGCCACTCAGACAGCTCTGCCTCTGCAGGGCTTGGCCATGGGCCTCAGGCACAGCCTTGGGCCTCAGGCATCTGCCCAGTGTGAACCTCAGTTTCCTCACCTGTACACTGAAGAGCCATGTTTGGGTTTGCTTGAGACATGGTCTCACATTGTAGCCCAGGCTGGGTTGGAACTTAGTATGTAGCCCAAGGTGACCTCCAGCTCATAGTAATCTTCCTGCTTCAGCCTCCCAAGTATTGGGACTTTGGTATTTGAGACAGTGTCTCATGTAGCCCAGGCTGACCCTGAACTTGCTATGTAGACAGATACGTCTTATCTGCCTGCCTTCACCTTCCCAGGTACTGGGATTACAGGTGTGGGCCAGTATACCAGGCCCCAACTTCAAACTTCTTTTAAAAAGTTGGAAACTGGGGCTGGAGAGATGGCTCAGTGGTTAAGAACACTGTTCTTGCAAAAGACCTGGGTTCGAATCCCAGCACCCACCTGGCAGCTAAGAGCTGTCTGTAACTCTAATTCCAGGGGATCCGACAGTCTCTTCTGTCCTCCGAGAGCACTGCACAACACGGGTGCACTTATCTACATGCAGGCAATACACACATACACATAAAATAAAAATAATAAATAAATTGGGTGGCTCACAACTGCCTGTAACTCCAGCTCCAGAAAGATCTGATCTCCAAGAACACCTGTATACCACGTGCACATACCCCCCACAGACACAAATTCGTACACATAATTTTAAAAATTAAAATAAGGCTGGAGAGTTAGCTCAGCAGT